TGAAACTGTGGGCAAGTCACTTTGCGTCCCCTGTGCCTCAGTACTCTCCCTGAAAACTGGACCCACGGCCGTCACCTCCCAGAGCCGCTGTGAAGAGGGAGGAGTTAAAGTCTGAGAAGCATGGCCAGCCCTGGTCCAGGCAGGCATTCAGAAAGCATTCTGATCCTCCTGATCTCTTCTGCACACTCACCCGCTTCCTGCCGAGCGCCCAGGCTGCACATATCATTCCGCAGTTTGCCTTTTCCGTCAGTCATGTATCTGAGTCCTTTTTCCTATGTCAGGACTCTTCTGTTCTGGGGTCTTCTTTCTCCTTGTCTGTCCCATGGGGGGCGGAGGGGGAGGCAGCGACATCTCCCTCTTTCCTGGTCCTCTGTCCACACCTTCTCTCAGGAAAGGTTCTGCTCAGCGCTCATAGTGAGGGGAGGTGCCCGCACGCACGCGGGTGGAAGCTGCCCTGGCCCTGAGCAGAGGAGCCCAGGTGGAGCACAGAGTGGAAACTGGGTGCCTAAGGGGCTGGCCCCGAGAGCCCCTGTCGCTCCACAGCCCCAGGGAACAGGGAGCGTGGAGCAGGGCCTGAAGTCCCCCCCACTGTCTCCTGGAATCCTCCCAGCCACCCCTGAGGAGCCGAGGCTCCATTTTACCGGGGGGACACAGATGCCCAGAGAGGTTCAGTGGCTTTCCCAGCGTCACCCAGCCAGTCCGGGCAGGGCGGGGCCCCAGCCGAGTCTGTCGGACGGTGCAGCTCATTTTGGCCAGAACTAAGCTAGAGCCCAGAGTCAGCCAGGCAGAGGTAGAGCCGGCTGGGAGGTTCTGGGTAAACAGGGGCAGGAAGTGGCCTGTGGGTTCTCAGGGCGCAGATGGGGGTGGCTCTCATTCTCTCGGCTGAAACTTAAATCCCTGCTGCGTTTTCCATGCAACTGGGCAGGGGCAGGAATTCTTTGGGACATCAGACACCCTTCTCCCCCCCCCCCCCCCCCCCCCAGTCCCCGCAAGAGGAGGCTGGGGCAGGGAGAAGGCTGTGCTGTGCAGCAGGCACTCCAGGCTCCTGGCTGCTGAGTTCATGCATGGGGGACTGATGCTGGGAGGGGTCCGGGAGCATTTTCTTTTGTTTTTTACTTTACTAGAGGCCCTCCCTCAGCTCAGCTTGCACCCTCTCCAATCTGGGACATCCCTCTCATAATCCAGAACTGCTGGCTCCCAATCACTCAGCTGCCTGCCTGCCAGCCTGATCACCCCCTAACCATGCCCCTGCCAGCCTGATCGACACCTGACTGCTCCCTTGCTGGCCCAATTGCCCCTAACTTCCCTCCCCTGATGGCCTGGTCACCCTTAACTTTCCTCCCCTGCCAGCCTGGTCATCCCTAACTGTCCTTCCCTGCCAGCCTGGTCACCCCTAACTGTCCTTCCCTGCCAGCCTGGTAACCCCTAACTGTCCTCCCCTGCCAGCCTGGTCACCCCCAATTGCCCTCCCTGCTGGCCTGGTTGCCCCTAACTGCCCTCCCCTGCAGCCTGGGTTCCGCCCCCCCCCCCCCCCCCCGCCCAACTGTCCTCCCCTGCAGAACTGGTCATCCCCAACTGCCCTCACCTGCTAGCCCGATCTCCCTCAACTGCTCTCCTCTGCCAGCCATCTTGTGGCGGCCATCTTGTGTCCACATGGGGGCGGCCACCTTTGACCACATGAAGGTGGCTATCTTGTGTGTTGGAGTGACAGTCAATTTGCTTATTACTCTTTTATTATGTAGGATCGGGGTGAGTTGGTCAGTGGCATTATGTGTGTTTCAGGGGCACAGCTCTAGAATACAGCATGTGCCTATTGTGTCGTGTGCTCAGCGTGCCCGGGGCATGTGGGCTCCCCGTGTCCCTCCTCTGTTCTTCCTGCCAACACGGGGCACTGGGGAGGCTGCGAAAGGCCCTCAGATGTGAGAGTGAGCAGGTGTGCTCGGGGGATAAGGTGAGCATGCCCAGGGTCTCCCCTGAACCACCTCATCCACCCTCGGATCCCCTCAAGTCCCCCCCTCAACCCCACACCCAGCCCAGGGGCCCAGGGAGGAGCCTGGGGCTTTGTGGGAAGAGCCGCTGTCTGTGAGGGGTGACGGCTTTGACAATGGGCCCCTGAGCCACCTTGGAGGACGGGGACAGGCTGGGACAACCCACCGCCTGGATGCTCAGGCCCGCGTGGCTCACAATCTCTGAGATCTCGTCCCCGAGGGCGGTGGCGCCCGGCGTCCTGCCTCCACCTGACACGCGAGCAAACTGAGGCCGGGCGGCCAGAGCAGCTGCCGGCCCGCCGGGGTCTCCGCAGCCAGAGCCAGCTCCAGCCCAGCCCTTTGTCAGAGAAACAAGGGGCTCCTTCTCCCCCCCCCAGCCCCGTCTCCCCGCGCCGGCTGGCACTGCCAGGCCCAGCCCCTCCCCAGCGGCCAGCTGAAGTGAGACTGACCCTGAGGCAGAGGAGCTGCGGGCGCTGCTGTGTGAGTGTGGGCAGCTGCAGGGCGGGCGGGAGGGCTGGGCTGGGGTCAGAGCCGGCGGGACTGCCGCGCGAGGTGGGCAGCGGGTCAAAGACAGGCTCCCCCTCCGGGAGGGCACGGGAAAGGGGCGGGGGCTGCAGCGGTGCCCCTGCTACAGGCCCGAGAAGGGGCAGAGGGGGGCGTGTGCCCCTCCTCCTGGGGACTGTCCGGTTAAGAGCTGCCCCTGAAGCCTTGACTACCTCCTGGCCTGGGAGGGCGGAGAAGGGAGCACGGTGCAGGGAGCACGGTGGTGAGGGAGGGCCGCTGAGTGCTCAGACCTGGAGGCCATGGTGCTGTCCCACTCGGGAGGGAAGCAGCTGTGGTGATGGACGGGGACGGGGCTGGGGGTCCGCTGGCGTGGACTCCATTCCCGGCCCTGGACCAACCAGACATGCAGCCTGGGACAAGCTCCTCCCGCAGCCTGGGATTGGCTCCCAGCCACTGTCTTCTCTGCAAGACCCTGACCTCCCCGTGCCTCAGTTTCCTCGTCTGTAAGAGGAGAACAATGCCAGACACCCCCTCGTGGGGCTGGCGGAGCACCCGCACACGGTGCGCGCTCAGACATGTGGACGGCTGCTAGCCCCGGGCCGCTGACTCTCATGGAATCTTGGCCAGGACCTCCCGCTCATGCCTGTGTCTGGTGCCTGGCATTTGACCGGACCTGCCAGCCATGTGCTTTCCTTTTCCACCCGCAGAGGTCTCCGGCCCGTGTTCAGGCCCCAGGGTGCGGCTCTGGCCTCTGCTCCGCCCGGCAGCTAAGCCTGCCGATCCATTCCCCACTCAGCCTGTGCATTCCCCACTCAGCCCCCCCAGTGCCACCCGCTGCTCGAGCCGCGTTATTGTGACTGAACACTCTCACCAATCTCCCAATGTAGAAGCTGTTCACAGGTGAGGAAACTGAGGCTCAGAGAGGCTAAGTGACTTGCCCAGGGTCACACAGCAAAGAGGCGGCCGAGCTGGGATTCAAGCCCATGCCTGTCCTGTTGGGTAGCATGTGCTCAACCATGTAGTCTTGGCGTCTCTTGCAATATCCCTGGGAGGGGACCCTCCAGCCCCTGCCAGGACCTGGGTGGAGTCTGGGCCACCTTCCAGAGAGTCTGAGCCCATCCCAGCTGGGAGGGACCTTACACATCACCCAGGCCTACCCCATCTAATATTTAATATGTAAGATGGCGATGCTGTGCACAGGGACACGGAGGCTCAGAGAGGATGTAACCAGCCACTGAGTGAGCCAGGGACAGAGCGGGCCCTGCTGCAGGCCTCGTCTGTCCCGCCCCGCCTCCTCTCAGACTGGGCCTGGAGGCCTCAGCCCCGTCTCCCCCCCGCCCCGTGTCCCTCCCCCACCCCTGCAGAGCTCAGGCTGCAGTGCCCTCTGGGAGCCCTGGCAGGCGAGAGGCCCTCTGGGAGCCCTGGCAGGACCGGGGCTGGAGCGGCCCTCCCTGCCCTGGGCTGCCACGGCCTCCGACTTGCCGTTCTCCCGCGGGACCGTGGCCTCCGGAGCGCAGCGGCTGCAGTCGGCCTGCGGCTGCGCGGCCGTGCGGGTCATAAAGAGCAAACGCTCCCCGCACGCACGCTTCGATAGAGCGATAGGGTCTGTCGTCACAGACCCTGGGCTGGAAGCCAAAGGGACAACAGGGAACAAGACGGACAGAATGCCTGCCCTCAGGGGAGCTTGCATTCCTGGGAAGAGATAGACAGCGAATGGAAGAACTAAGCAAAAATGCATAGTATTTAAGAGGGCCACCAGTGATACGGAGAATCATAAAAGAGGTGGGGGTTTTGCGATTGCAAAGGAGGCGGCCATGGAAAGTCTGCAGTGATATTTATGCTCTGGAAGATGAAGGAGCTGCGGTGAGGACCCGAGCCACCGGGGTCTGGTGGAAGGGCATCCAGGCGGAGGGCAGAGCCAGTGCCCAGGCCCTGAGGTGGGGGCGCACCTGGTGTCTGAGGGTCGGGGTGACTAGGGCAGGTGGAGAGGGGAGAGCAGGAGGCGCGGGGTCAGACCCCAGGGCCCCTTTCTGGTGAGGATGTGGGCTTCCTCTGAGCAAAGTGGGAGCCCGAGTGAGTTCTGAGCAGAGGGAGGGGCGGGATCTGACCCGGCTTTAACGGGATCCCCGGATTAGAGTTCTGAGTAGAAGAATCTGGTGAGGCAGGAGAAAGGAGAGGCTGCCCAGAACCAAATCACATGGCAGCGAGGTGGAGGGCAGAGGAGGACGCCCCTGAGGTCAGATCTGACAGGCCCCAGGTGTGCGGGAGCGGAGGGCGGTGACCCCAGTGTGGGGGCCGACACCTGCAGTGAGTGAAGCAGAAGGAATCCGCTTCTGGCCCAGGACCCAGGGCGCTTGCATTCCGGGCTCCGCAGTGATCCTGGGCAAGTGCCCCGCAGCAGGTCTGCCATGCACCGGGGCACTCCCTCTGGTCCGGGCCCCGCCCCAGCCCCGGTGCTCCGAGCGGCCACGCCTCACAGACCTGCCCCTGCCCTGTCCCCGTCCGCAGGAAGCCAGCGCCAGCGGCCATGGCGTCGCGCATCGGGCTGCGCATGCAGCTCATGCGGGAGCAGGCGCAGCAGGAGGAGCAGCGGGAGCGCATGCAGCAGCAGGCCGTCATGCACTACATGCAGCAGCAGCAGCAGCAGCAGCTGGGGGGGCCGCCCACCCCGGCCATCAGCACCCCCGCTCACTTCCAGTCTCCACCCGCTGTGCCCGGGGAGGTGCTGAAGGTAGAGCTCGCTCAGGCCTGTCCCCTCCAGCCTGCCCCCTCCCGCCCATCCCCTCCGTCCTGTCCCCTCCCGCCTGTCCCCTCCCACCTGACCCCTCCGGCCCATCCCCTCCCGCCTGTCCCCTCCGGCCCGTCCACTCCCGCCTGTCCCCTCCCGCCTGTCCCATCTCACCTGTCCCCTCCCACCTGTCCCCTCCCGCCTGCCCCCTCCCGCCCGTCCCCTCCGTCCTGTCCCCTCCCGCCTGTCCCCTCCCACCTGTCCCCTCCGGCCCATCCCCTCCCGCCTGTCCCCTCCGGCCCGTCCACTCCCGCCTGTCCCCTCCCGCCTGTCCCCTCCGGCCTGTCCCCTCCCGCCTGTCCCCTCCGTCCTGTCCCCTCCGTCCTGTCCCCTCCGGCCCGTCCCCTCCCGCCCGTCCCCTCCCGCCTGTCCCCTCCGGCCTGCCCCCTCCCACCTGTCCCCTCCGGCCCATCCCCTCCCGCCTGTCCCCTCCGGCCCGTCCACTCCCGCCTGTCCCCTCCTGCCTGTCCCCTCCCGCCTGTCCCCTCCGTCCTGTCCCCTCCGGCCCGTCCCCTCCCGCCCGTCCCCTCCCGCCCGTCCCCTCCCGCCTGTCCCCTCCCGTCCGTCCCCTCCCGCCTGTCCCCTCTGGCCCATCCCCTCCTGCCTGTCCCCTCCGGCCCGTCCCCTCCCGCCTGTACCCTCCCGCCCGTCCCCTCCCACCTGTCCCCTCCTGCCTGTCCCCTCCAGCCCGTCCCCTCCCGCCTGTCCCCTCCAGCCCATCCCCTCCCGCCTGTCCCCTCCGGCCTGTCCCCTCCAGCCCGTCCCCTCCCGCCTGTCCCCTCCCGCCCGTCCCCTCCCGCCCGTCCCCTCCCGCCTGTCCCCTCCAGCCCATCCCCTCCCGCCTGTCCCCTCCGGCCCGTCCCCTCCCGCCTGTCCCCTCCCGCCTGTCCCCTCTGGCCCATCCCCTCCCGCCTGTCCCCTCTGGCCCATCCCCTCCCGCCTGTCCCCTCCTGCCTGTCCCCTCCGGCCCGTCCCCTCCCGCCTGTCCCCTCCCGCCCGTCCCCTCCCGCCTGTCCCCTCCTGCCTGTCCCCTCCGGCCCATCCCCTCCCGCCTGTCCCCTCCCGCCCGTCCCCTTCGGCCTGTCCCCTCCAGCCCGTCCCCTCCCGCCTGTCCCCTCCCGCCCGTCCCCTTCGGCCTGTCCCCTTCAGCCCGTCCCCTCCGGCCTGTCCCCTCCAGCCCGTCCCCTCCGGCCCCGCTCGAGCCGCCTCCCCCCACAGGTGCAGTCCTACCTGGAGAACCCCACCTCCTACCACCTGCAGCAGTCCCGGGACCAGAAGGTGCGGGAGTACCTGTCGGAGACCTACGGAAACAAGTTTGCTGCCCACATCAGCCCCGCCCAGGGCTCCCCGAAGCCCCTGCCCGCCGCCTCCCCGGGGGTGCGGGCCGGCCACGTGGTGTCCTCCTCAGCGGGCAACAGTGCCCCCAACAGCCCCATGGCCATGCTGCACATCGGCTCCAACCCCGAGCGGGAGGTGAGTGCGGAGCTGCCGCGGCTGCCACCCAGGTCCTGCCCTCAGGGAGCCCCCGTCTGAGGGGACACGGCCCTGCCCTCAGGGAGCCCCCGTCTGAGGGGACACAGCCCTGTCCTCAGGGAGCCCCCGTCTGAGGGGACACAGCCCTGTCCTCAGGGAGCCCCCGTCTGAGGGAGACACAGCCCTGTCCTCAGGGAGCCCCCGTCTGAGGGAGACACAGCCCTGTCCTCAGGGAGCCCCCGTCTGAGGGAGACACAGCCCTGTCCTCAGGGAGCCCCCGTCTGAGGGGACACGGCCCTGTCCTCAGGGAGCCCCAGTCTGAGGGGACACGGCCCTGTCCTCAGGGAGCCCCCGTCTGAGGGGACACGGCCCTGTCCTCAGGGAGCCCCAGTCTGAGGGGACACAGCCCTGTCCTCAGGGAGCCCCAGTCTGAGGGGACACAGCCCTGTCCTCAGGGAGCCCCCATCTGAGGGGACACGGCCCTGTCCTCAGGGAGCCCCCATCTGAGGGGACACGGCCCTGTCCTCAGGGAGCCCCCGTCTGAGGGGACACGGCCCTGTCCTCAGGGAGCCCCAGTCTGAGGGGACACAGCCCTGTCCTCAGGGAGCCCCAGTCTGAGGGGACACAGCCCTGTCCTCAGGGAGCCCCCGTCTGAGGGGACACGGCCCTGTCCTCAGGGAGCCCCCATCTGAGGGGACACGGCCCTGTCCTCAGGGAGCCCCCATCTGAAGGGGACACGGCCCTGTCCTCAGGGAGCCCAGTCTGAGGGGACACGGCCCTGTCCTCAGGGAGCCCAGTCTGAGGGGACACAGCCCTGTCCTCAGGGAGCCCCCGTCTGAGGGGACACAGCCCTGTCCTCAGGGAGCCCAGTCTGAGGGGCCACAGCCCTGTCCTCAGGGAGCCCCCGCCTGAGGGGACACGGCACTGTCCTCAGGGAGCCCCAGTCTGAGGGGACACAGCCCTGTCCTCAGGGAGCCCCCGTCTGAGGGGACACAGCCTGTTCTCAGGGAGCCCCAGTCTGAGGGGACACAGCCCTGTCCTCAGGGAGCCCCAGTCTGAGGGGGACACGGCCCTGTCCTCAGGGAGCCCCAGTCTGAGGGGGAAATAGCCCTATCCTCAGGGAGCCCCCATCTGAAGGGGACACGGCCTGTCCCCGGGGAGCCCGTCCCCCCTGGCCTGTCCCCGGGCACTCTCAGAGGCCCACAGGAAACCTGCACAGCCATCCCCCTGGCCATTGGCTCCTTGGGGAGGAGACCTGGCTGGGCTCTGGGGCTGTGGGCCCTGGAAGCTCAGGCTCCCCCCCACTCCTGCCCGCAATCAGGAGTGGAGTGGGGTGGGCTCCAGTGCCTCAGGGCAGGGCCTGGCAGCCTGCCCTCCAGTGGGCCCTCCCCAGACAGACTTTTCTCTTCCAGTTTGACGTCATCGACAACATTATGTGTCTGGACGACGTCCTGGGCTTCATCAATCCCGAGTCTCAGATGCCCAATACGGTACGGCTGGCCGGGCTGGTGGGGTGGCAGAGGGAGGGGCCGAGGTCCTCCTGGCTCTAAGCCTGGAGAGAACCAGACCCGGGCCGCCTCCATCAAATCCTGTGAGGAGGGCCCGGGCCTGGGACAGCTGGGATCCCGAGGGACGTGCGTCCACCCGCGTGCCCGATGGGGCTTCAGCAGGGCCAGGGGCCTGGTGGGGTGGGGGCAGGGGCAGGGTCCGGGTGCTGGGCCTCAGCAGAGGGGCAGGGAGCATTCCTGGGGGCAGCAGTGGCCACAAGGAGGCGCAGAGCCGGTGAGCTCCTTTGGGTCCGGGGCTCCCCCTTCTCCAAGCCGAGGGCCCAGCGTGGCCTCACTCCATGGGGCGAGGGACCGGGCGGCTCTGTCCCCTTCCTCCTGAGCCTCCGGCTGCGAGAGCCGAGGGAGATGGCCGGTGGGACGGAGCCAGGCGTGGACTCAGGAGGCCTGGCTTCCGGCTTTGGCTGTGACCTTGGGAAGTCTCTTCGCTCTTCTGGGTGCTTGCTCTCAGCTGTGAGATAGGGAAGATGCCTCCTCCTGGCAGGATGGCGGGAAGATTAGGCACAGCAAGAAACAGGGGCCAGCTGTGCACAGAGGTGACAGTATTCACACTGAGCCGGGAAGGTGCAGGTGTCCCACCCCTTTTGGGGGGTTCTAAGCCTCCGCTGTTCACGGCTGCCCCTTGGGCCTGAGCCGCCGCCCGGCCCTGGCCCTGGCCCCTGCCACTGTGGGAAACTCCGTCCCCCACCTCCCCTTTCCACAGGGGGACTCGAGGAGTCACCCCTCAACCCCCAGCCAATGAGACACTGTCCAGGGGCTCAGTGGGGGCATCGAGGTCTAGGGAGGGAGAGAGGCCACTCCCGGGCCCTTTCGTGGCCTCTGGGTGCCTGGGTAGGGCTCTGGGCCTGTGATGCGCTCTGTATGTGTCTGTGTAGGAGTCCAGGGTCTTTCCAGAGCCCAGATCTGCTCCTGCCCGGCACTTGCTTACACCCCCACTGGCTGCCCATCCCCAAACCCCAGGCCTTTGCAAGTTGAGCCCAGCACACCAGGACCCAGCTCACCTCCTGCCGCTTGGGTCCCTGCACACTTGCGACAGTCCCCACCCACCCCAGTAGGACCCTCCTCTCAGTTCTGCCTGGGACTGCCGCTCCACGCCCTCCTGACGCCTTGGGGAAAACCTCGGAGGAGATTGGCTGCCCCGCCCCTGGACCTCCTAAGCCCGGGGCAGATCCTCCCAAACCTGCACCTGGCGTTCACTACCTCCTGGAGGCTCCCAGTGTAGGCCGAACTCTTGGGGCCTGCGTCTTGTTGAGCCCCGGACTCCGCAGGCTCTCAGGAGGACGGGGGCGGCCGGCTGGAGAGGCCCCAGTGAATTCTGACGCCTCTGGTGCTGGCAGCTTAGGCTGAAGCTGACCTGGGGCGATGGGCCCTGGTGAGGACCCCTCATGGAGACGGGGCTGCTCACTGGGCCCCCCTCTCCGCCTCGCCCCGCAGCTGCCGCTGTCCAGCAGCCACCTGAACGTGTACAGTGGAGACCCTCAGGTCACAGCCTCCCTGGTGGGGGTCACCAGCAGCTCCTGCCCAGCCGACCTGACCCAGAAGCGTGAGCTTACAGGTACCTCCTCCCTGCCTCCCTGTGTCCGGGCCCCCACCTCCTCCTCCTCTCCCTCCCTCCCAGCTCCTCCCTGCTTCTCTCCCGGCCTCCAGACGCTGAGAGCCGGGCCCTGGCCAAGGAGCGGCAAAAGAAGGACAATCACAACCTAAGTGAGTCCTCCCCACCAGCCCCTTCCCCTTCCTCCCTCTGGTTCAGGCCTAGGTAGTCTACCCTCCCCAGGGAAGGGATGGGAGAGGGGCTCCCGGGGAGACAGTCATGAAATCGCCAGCACCTCAGAGAGAATGAGTTTATCAGACTATTTTGCTTTTGGGCCTGGAACCTGGGGACTCTTGGGCAGCGGGGGTGTCCTAACCCGGGCGGCTTGGTCTGCTGGCAGCCCTCCCTCGCAGAGCCCCTTGGTGGTGCCCGGCTTGCGCCCATCCCCCCATCCCAGAGAGATCCCACTCCTTTGGGCGCCCCTTACTTCCCAGAAGGCAAAGGCACCCTTCCTGGGGCCGGGCCCTTCTCCCCAGTGGGGGTTCGTGTCTCTAACCGCTCCCTCCTGCCTGTGTCGCCTTTAGTCGAAAGGAGACGAAGGTTCAACATTAACGACCGCATCAAGGAGTTGGGAATGCTGATCCCCAAGGCCAACGACCTGTGAGCGGGTTTCTGGGGGAGGGGGAGGGCTGGGCAGGGGCTGGAACAAACCGCCCCAAGCTGGTTGCCAGCGGGGAGGGCGGGACGAGAATCCCTGGATTGCTGCCTTCTAAGAGCTTCTCTATCAGCTGTTTGGGAAGAGGTCCCTCCTTCACTCAATCAGGAAGCTGCAGGCAGAGGAGCCGATGCTCTGGAGGAGGCGGGGCGGGGGGGGGAGGGTCTTCCTGGAGGAGGAACTACAGGGGAAAGTGTGTTGAGGACCTTGAACCGGTGGGGAGGGGGCTTGGGGTAGGCGCAGGAGGGTGGAGGACCTGTATGGGTGTGGGTGGCAGAAACGGAAGGCTGGGGAAGGGGGCTGTTCTGAATCCCTTGGTTCTATGGGATCAGGGAGGTGGGTGTGCAGCGCGGTCCCTGGAAGGGCTGCTCCGTGGGTAGGGAGAGCAGCCAAGGCCCGGATAGGGGTTGGCTGGGTCTGAGGTTCCTGGCAAAGTTGGGGCAGGTGGCATCGGCTTCTGAAACCAAAGCGGGGTTTCATCACCCACCCTCCCCCCTCCCCGGAGTGCATGGCACACCTCTGGCTCTGTGCCCTGCAGGGACGTGCGCTGGAACAAGGGCACCATCCTCAAGGCCTCTGTGGATTACATCCGGAGGATGCAGAAGGACCTGCAGAAGTCCCGGGAGCTGGAGAACCACTCTCGGCGCCTGGAGATGACCAACAAGCAGCTCTGGCTGCGGATCCAGGTCTGGCTCCTGCACTAGGGCCTGTTGGGAAGCTCCGACTCCTGCCCCCTGCCCTGGCTCTTGGCCTCGGGGGCAGGGCTTACTGAAGTCATGGGAATGGTCTCATGAGAAGGGAAGATATATTAATATTAGTAAGGATGTTATGGTTTGGTAACACACATTCCCAGCAACTTTAAGCAGCAGATATCAGCTGGAGTTCTGTTCTGGGAGACCTCCATTCTGGGACCCAGGGAAATGGACAGGTACATTTAGAGCTGGCCCTTAAAGCCATAGTTACTCTTCAGGTGGCACTCATCACACTTCTGCTTATAGTTAATTGATCAACACAAGTGCATGCCTGCACCTAACCTCAAGGGGGCAGCAAAGAGCAAGCCCACCCTGTAGGGAAGGCAGAGAGTTGAAACCATTTGGTGATAAGTGCTAAGGATGGCCAATGAGGCCAACTCAAGAACCAAAGCTTGGGAGTCACCTGGAGCCACGGGTTCTAGTCTAGTCCTGGCCAGAGGGCCTCTGTTCTCTTCGGACCTGCGGCTGGTCATCCATCTAAAGGGCGATTGGACTGAAGCTTTTAAACGTTCCTGTTTCTATTTCTCAACAGTAGATAACTAATTTGCATTACAATACAGCACACATAGCCACACTCATCAAAGTTTCCTCAAAGAACCCTCTCCTTAATAAATGCAGTGCATTCTGGTAGTTTCTAGTCTAGTCTAGCCTAATCTAGTCCAGGCAAGTCTATTTCAATTAAGGGAACTAGAGGGAGAGCTGGTCAAGACTCACTAAGTGGTTTCAGAACCCACTAATGAGTTGTGACTTATAGTTTGAAAAAACACAGGGGAAGGTACCCTGGGCAGGGGCCGTGTGTGGTCTCGGATGCCACGGGAGAGGGGAGTGGCTGAGGCCGGGGTCGGGGGCAGCCGGTGTCCATGGGTGTGTGCCCTTAGCCCTCTGTCTGCCCACCACACAGGAGCTGGAGATGCAGGCTCGAGTGCACGGCCTGCCCACCACCTCCCCGTCCGGCATGAACATGGCCGAGCTGGCCCAGCAGGTGGTCAAGCAGGAGCTGCCCGGCGAGGAGGGCCCGGGGGAGGCCCTGCTGCTGAGGGCCGAGGTCCCCGACCCCGAGTCACTGCCCACTCTGCCCCCCCAGGCCCCGCTGCCCCCGCCGGCCCAGCAGCCCCAGCCACCGTCCCCGTTCCACCACCTGGACTTGAGCCACAGCCTGAGCTTTGGGGGTGGGGGCGACGAAGGGCCCCCGGGCTACCCGGAGCCCATGGGGCAAGAGCACGGCTCCCTGTTCCCCAACCTGTCCAAGAAGGACCTGGACCTCATGCTCCTGGACAACTCACTGCTGCCGCTGGCCTCCGACCCCCTCTTCTCCACCATGTCCCCCGAGGCCTCCAAGGCCAGCAGCCGCCGAAGCAGCTTCAGCATGGAGGAGGGCGACGTGCTGTGACCCTGGGGACGGGCAGGCCTGGGGCTGGGAGGGCAGGGCCGCCTCCCTCCCCCCTCAGGCTGCACTCGTGTGTGACATAGCCACCTGCCCTGCCGCCCTCCCTTCGGCCTCTTGTTTGGACTTAGTGCCCGCTTGGCAGCCTGTGGGGTCGGGAGAAGCCCCCGCCCGGCTCAGCACTCCCGGGGGCAGCCCTCCGACGGGGCTGGGCAGGAGGAGATCTTGGACCGGGCCCCCGGGGCTGTGCTGGAGGTGAGAATGGGTCCTGGAGGGTCTTGTCTTGGAGCAGGGGGTTCTGGAAGTTCCTTCTCCGAAGCAGAGACGGGTCCAGGGGGAGCCCAGGCCTGCTTTTCTGGGACTCAGATGGCAACAAGCCCGTCCTCCAGCCTGGCCACGCCCCTCACACAGGGGGGGCACCCCCAGCCCCCCTTTGGTGCTAACAGCTCTCCGCCCGGCGGCGTGAGGGTGGGGGCGGCCGGCAGAGGGTGCTGGGTTCAGGCTAGTGTGGGGTCTCTGCTGAAAGAGCAGCTTCCCTCCAGTCTCCCCACTTTGTGCCTTAGTAAACACTGTGCTTTGTACCCACGTGTCCTGTCTCCTTGGAGTGGGTTCGGGGCTGAGGGAGAACGAACGGGAGGGTTCAACCCAGGGGGCTTCTTTCTAGAGACCCAATGGGGGTGAGGGCAGGGGGTTACAGAGAGGGAGGAACAAGCCTGTCACCCAGTCCCCCCAGCTCCCCAGCCCTGCCTAGGGCACGCTAGCCTTCCTCAGGCTTGGTGCGGAAGAGAAGTTCCTCCTCGCAGCCACGAGATGGCGCTGCAGCCACGCTAGCCTCGCCTCCAGAGCCGCTTGGCAGGGTGACTGGGGAACTGGGTTGAGTCTACTGTTCTTCGCAGCAGTTTGGACACCCTTGGCCCAGGCTACTCCTGACTGGGTAGGGGCCGCGTATCTCCTGTCCCCCACGCCCACTCGTGGTGGCGACCTCTCGGATCCCCCCCCCTCGGGGGCTCGGGCCCCATCTGCTGGCTGACTTCGTGTCTCTAGCAGCACCGGCTCCCCAGTAAGGAAGGGGTGTCCTCTGGGTTTGGGGAACCAGGACCCACGTGAACTGGTTTGGAAGGAGGCAGGCATGCAGGACCCTGGGTGGAGCCAAGGACAGGCTTCTACTGGCTCTGGCCAGTTCTTCCCTCGGCCTCAGTCCCACCGCAGAGCAGCTCTCCGGGCCTCTGCTCCAGGGCCTGGCGTGTGACCTCGCCCAGGAGGGGGAAGTGGGTTTGGTGCAGCGAGGGGCGGAGGGCAGCCTGACCTCCGGGTGTCCGGGAGGGAGAGAGGGTCTTCGGGGGCGTTGTCTCGTTCTCCCTCCTCTCCCCTGTGTCCTCAGGCAGAGATCAAAATGGGTCTCCCCTCCTGGGGCCGGGGAGGCTGAAGGGGCCTAATTAATAAAAACTGGGACATCCCAGGAGGAGAGCGGAGGGCAGCGTCCTCTGTGCAGAGCCGGAGATCAGGTCCGCGCTGAGCGATGAAGGCGGCAGGGGCGGGAGGACAGGGGCCGGGCTCGCGCTGATGGCACTGGGCTGGGGGTTCATCTCAAGGTCAGATGGAGCCGTGGACGACATTATGGAGTTTGAGCCAGCCTGGGGAACTGGCACCTCCTTCCGGTTTCAGGCCCCGCCCCATGCCAGGGACCTGCCCAGGCGCCGGGACCACCCCCAGTCCTGCCTGGGACAAGCCCTGCGTCCCCGCTGAGGGCTGCCTGCTGGGTCCAGGTGTGGCTGTTTGGGCACTGAGGGGGTGGAGTCTGGGGACGCTGAAGGACGCTGGTGAGTGAAGGAGAACCCCATTTGAGGATTCCTTCAGCAGAGTAAGCCTCCCTCAAGACCACACTACCCGCACCATCCACCCGCCTGCCGGCTTCCTGGCCGCTGGGCTCCTCCTGGGAAGCAGGGTCTGGTGGCCCATCGGACAGGCCGGAGGGTGTGGGTGAGGCTCCACCCACAGGAGGGCGCCAAAGGGCCAGGAGCTAACAGTTGTCAACCAGGTTGAGGGGGGCCAGGGAGTGGGGCGGCGGGAGCCTGGGCTTCATTGCACCTTCCAAACGGTCTGCCTGGGGCCCTGCAGCACCTCGGGCCTGGGCCTGGCGAGGACAGGCGGAGGTGCCCCCTCCTGGCGAGGACAGGCGGAGGTGCCCCCTCCTGGCGGGGACAGGCGGAGGTGCCCCCTCCTGGCGAGGACAGGCGGAGGTGCCCCCTCCTGGCGGGGACAGGCGGAGGTGCCCCCTCCTGGCGGGGACAGGCGGAGGTGCCCCCTCGCACTGCCACAGGCCGTGGGGAAGTTCACGTCGGGACTGGCCTGCAGGAACGCCAGGTCCATGGAGAGGAGCCAGGCCAGCGGCTTCCTGCCCGCGGCTGTGCGCACCTCAGGGCAAGCAGGAGGGGCGCGCTCTTCACCCGCGCTTTCTGGGGGCCAGACAACACCTTCCCAGACGGAAGGTCCTCCGGGGGAGTTATTTTTTATTTATTTAATTTATTTATTTTAAATATATCTTACTGATTTTCCACAGAGAGGAAAGGAGAGGGACAGAGAGCTAGAAACATCGATGAGAGAGAAACATCAACCAGCTGCCTCCTACACACCCCCTGCCGGGAACGTGCCCACAACCAACGTGCATGCCCTTGACCGGAATCAAACCTGGGACCTTTCAGTCTGCAGGCCGCCGCTCTATCCACTGAGCCACACTGGTTTCGGCAGGGGGAGTTATTTTTAAAAAGTGGGGTGGGTGAGTAGGCGGGGGTGCCAGCAGGCACGGGCCTGTCTGACCCCTCACCTCACCGCGCAGGCCCCCGAGGCCTGGAGACTTCACAGAGGCTTGAAGGGCAGGCATGGGCTGGGGCCTCGCTCAGGCCAGGCCGGGGGCACTGGCTCTCTGTTGCTCAGTGCCTACCTCCTCAGCATTCGGGGACCTCCCTGCTCAGAGTTTCACAGGTCCCATCGCCCACTGTTCCTTTAAATCAGATTCTTCCTTAGCTGGTTGGAGCCGTGGACTCGGGTGAGAATCAGATACGCATTGCGAATCTTCTCCCCTCACCCCTCAAGCCTCCAAAAAAGGAACCCCAAACTGAAGACTCCTGCCCCCTTTCCCTCCTGTGCCCCTCCAAGGCCCTTGGCGTGTCAGCTGGATCGACTAGAAAGAGCCCCATCCGTTCTCCTCCAGCCCCGCCCCTAGACCCCACCTCCTAGGGTTTGGCCCCCTCCCCCTCCCGGGCTCCTCCAGACTCATTTTTCCTGTGCTCTCTCCTTTCTGGGGGGGCAGTGGAATTTATACAATATTTAAGCAGCCGGAGCCGGGTCCGGGAAGATATTATTAATGTAGAAGGGACCGGCTGCAAATGCTTTCGGACCTGGTTACAATTAGAGGGTGATTTTTCTAAAGGTCAATGAATTCAGATAATATCCACAGGGGGGAGAGAAATTTAATACCTTTTTAGTGAATTAATTAATTATAATATTATATCGGCTTGGGGTTCTTTTCCAGAGTGATTAAGGGAGCGATCCGTCTTCTGTGAGACCGGGAGCGGCGCCTGCTGCCAGCAAGGACCCGGCTCGGGGCTCAGGATGGGGGAGGGGGACCGGGGAGCTGGGGCGTCGGGCAGCCGGGGGTGGGGGGGGGAGGGCTGGCAGGACTCAGTCTGGGGAGGGCAGGGGCAGTGATTGGCAGTGCCCTTTCCCCTCGGCTGGTGCCCGAGGCCGCCCTCCTGCTGCCTGTCCCTGAGCCTCAGCATGGCCTCGGTGGGATGCATGGGTTTTCAGCTCCTGCTTCACACTTGGGGAAACTGAGGCCCGCAGGTTTCAGGAACGTGGCCTGAGCCCCTGTGAGTTAGGACAGACGGGGGGCGGTGGAGCTGGCTGGAAATAACAAGAAGGCTCCCCCCGCTCCCGAACAGGACTGTCCGGGAACCTCTCCACTGGCCTGCGAAGGCCCCCCTGTGACACAGGCAGAGCTCCCCAGGGGCGAGCCAGGCCCGTGGCTGCAAGGCCGCGCGAGGGGGCAGCTGAGATTCCTGTTCCTGGGAGAGGTGCCTCACCCGCTTGGCCATGTGGTCAATCATGTGTCCCTTCAGCGCTCGCTCGTGCCCCCTAAGCCAGAAATAGCCCCTCTCGGACCCCGTCCCCCAGCGCAGGCCGCCCCTCCGCTGCTCCCTGACCCGGGCTGGGCTGCGCAGCCCTGTGGGTCCTTTCCACTCAGACAGGAGCCCTGCCTCCACCTGAGGGCACGGGGGCCGCTGGGAGGAGGTGGGCATTCATTTCCCAACAAGCCTGAGGGTGTGGGGCAGGGGGACGCCCTGGCTGCAGGAGCCGCAGGGCTGAGGGGCAGCAGCCCAGGGCAGGTGGGCTAGGAGGCGGCCAGGTGACAGCAGTGAGGATTCCGAGAGGAGTTTTTAACGGGAGGTGGGGGGGGAGGTGGTACAAAGCTGAGCTGTGAGGCCCGGGCTGAGTAGGAACGGGAGGGGCACTCCAGGCTGGGCACAGAGTGAGGGCCTGAGGGATGTGGGCGCCCGTGGGCGGCAGGGCTGGTGGGCTGGCGGGGAAGGGGGTGGGGGAATGGCCTGGGCACGTTGCCTGGGTCTGGGGTCGGAGAGGCAGGGAGCAGCAAAGCCGAATAGGCCACATTTAATTAACTGCGGACTCTGCCTCAGCTTGCTGGGCTCTCTGTGCCTCAGTTTCCCTTCCTGTGATGGGGGGGTTTCAATATCTCCTCCCAGGGTGTCTGTGTGGATTGAAGGAAAAACTGAAGGAAGTGCCAGGCACAACATGTCACTCAAGATGTGGCCGCGGACGCTGCAGCTTCCTCAAGGGGGCGGTGGACTACGGACCTGCCCCTGCCTGCCGCACCTCAATTCCTTTTCCCTCCACGGGGGTGCCCGGGCACGTCCCAGGGGCAGGGGGAGGTCGGCATTTTTTCTCCTCTCCTCGCTCAGCCCTCTCCCTGATGGCCCCCTCCCCCACCCCCATCCCTCCCCGTGTGCGCGGCCCGGAGGGCCTCCCATTGTACTATCTTTGGGCCCTAAATTAAAATTGATGACATCTTGAAATGAGCAGTGAGGGTAATTTTGCTTCTGAGCCGGGATGCTAATGAGGCCCCTTAATGGTGCGAACGCCGCGCTGACGGGTCGTGTGTCACGCGCGGCGGCGAGGGGGGTAATGGCCGCGGTAAGTGCCGGTAATTACACCCTGTCTCGCTGTATTTTGGCAGGCCTGGTGGGAGAGCAGGGGCTCCGGCACCGCCGGCAGGGGCACCCGCCCCCCCCCCCCCCCCCCCCCCGCGGGCCTGACAGCCAGAGACGTCCCCTCGGCCCAGCCGGGCTCCTCAAACCCAGCCTCGCGGAGGATGGGGGCCTGGGGCACAACCCCCCACCATGTGCAGTCACACACAGCCCTGTTACACCGTGTGCAGCCCGACACCCCCACATCCTCACCCCCTCAGCCAGCTCCAGGCAGTTAGACACACTCCACACCCTGTGAAAGCACAGCGCATATACACACCCTTAGGGCTCACACACGTACATGTGCACACAACACGCCC